TTAAAGTGAATAGAGGTAAATACTGTTAGCTGTTGGGACATGGACGGGATTGCAATCATTATAATGATGCAAAGCGTATGATTTGTTGAATATAAAACTGATGATCTGCTCTGTGAACTCAATTCACAGTAAAAGGTTTTTGTTTTTATTTTTCAAAAAGATTCAATCTACAAAACTCTCTGGGACAATTCTACTCTGTCACAAGGGTTGCTGTGAGTCTGAATAGACTTGACAGTACACAACAGCATATAACAGGTAGGTCCCTGGATGGTGACAAAGGTGCACAACTGCTAACTAGAAGATAGGCAGGCCAAACCCACCCAGATGTGCCTTAGAAGAAAGCCCTGGTGATTTACATCTGAAAAATTAGTCATTAAAGCCCCATGGAGGACAGTATTCTGACACACATAGGGTCAATATGAATCAGAATCATCAGGCAGCAGCTGGTTACTGGTGATATGCCAGGCATATAAACAAGGCAGACAAAGACCCTGTTTTCTCCAAACTTGCAGTCTCTTTGGCCAGGTAGCCTCTCAAGAAGCAACCCTCATGGAAAGGGAGGCAATACCTTTGTAATGGTTGCATTCAAGGAGCTCTGGTAGCAAAGCGGTTACGAATCGGGCTGTGAACCACAAGGTCAGCAGTTTGAAAATACCAGCTGTTCCATGGTAGAAAGATGAGGCTTTCTGTTCCCGTAAAGATTTACAGCCTTGGAAATCCCGTACAGGGTCTCTATGAGTCAAAACTGACTCCATGGCACATAACAACAACAATATGAGTGAGGAAGTGCTGATGGGGGCTGTAAGATAAGCACTGGACTGTGAGCCACAAAGTCCATGGTTCTTGTCTGCCAGCTGCTCCACAGGAGTAAGATGAGGCTTTCTGCTCTCTTGAAGATTTACAGCCTTGGAAACCCTTTCCAGGGTCACTATGAGTTTGAATCTACTTGATGACACTTAACAAAAGCAACCAAAAAGAATCCACAGCCTAATCCCTAGAAACTGATAATTTTATGTTACATGGCAAAAGGGAATTAATGTTTCCAATCAGTAAGATCAGCACTGGACTGAGAACCACAAGACTGGCAATTCAAACCCACCAGCTGCTCCTCAGAAATCCTATACAGCATTGATATGAATCGGAACAAACTCAACAGCATATAACAACAACAATCATCTGACTTTATGATTTTCCTGGATTATGCAAGAAAATCTGATATAATCACAAGAATCCTTAAAAGTAAAAGAGTCAGTGTCAAAGTAATGCAATGTAGGAGAGACTCCATTTACTCTTGTTGGCTTTGAAGATGAAACAAGACCATAAGTCAAGGATTGTAGATGACCTCTAGAAGTTGAAAAAGGCAAGAAAATCTTCCAAAAGGTATATAGCCTTGCCAAAACCTTTTAGCCTAGCAAGACCCATTTCAAAATTCTGACTTCCAGAACTAGAAGGTGATAATGTTTTTTAAAGCCACTAAATTTGTGGTGATTTATTACAGCAGTAATAGGAAACTAATATTCAGCTCTTTTTCCTCTTTTGCAAACTGCATGCAGTTGACAATGAAGCTCTGGGTGATGAAGGAGCCACAAGATGTACTATCTTAGGTCTCTGACTTACTACGTGTAGAAAAGCCATCTGCTGACTAGGAGCACACACTTTGACTTCTTGTGTGAAAAAGAAATAAACCTCTGTGTCTGATGGTTCAAATTTACCAGCTGCTTTGTGGGAGAAAGGTGAGGCATTCTATTTCCATAAAGACTTATAGTCTCGGAAACTCTGTGAAACAGTTGTACTTTGGGTCGCTATGAGTCAATTTGATAGCAGTGGACTTGGTTTGGGATTTAGTTTGAATGATCTTTGTTACAGTTGTTTATTCCATCCCAATGGATACAAATCTCTGTGCCTCGATTCACTTGTTTTAAAAAGTATGATAAAATATAATAGCTATCTACAGTAGTTTTGAAAATGAAATACTATTTAATCTAAAAGATATCCTTTAAAATATGTTTGAAAAACAACCAATTACATATATGTCCCTGGTTCCATAGGTCTTCTGTTTTGTTTTAAGGAAAAACAGCCCTGATTTTGTTTATTATTTCCCCCAAATGATTCTAAGTTTCCTGGTGTGGCACTGTAGAATAAGCCCTGAACTGCTAACTGCAAGATTGGAAGTTCAAACCCACCAGCCACCACTTGGGAACCCTATACAGGGTTGCTATGAGTCAGCAGTGACTCCACAGCACTTAAACAATCTCCTATAAAGCCCACAAACTAAGGAGATTTTTTTTTTTTTAATCGTTGGGGGAGGTGAACATTTCTTCATAATAGTTAAACAGCATTAAAATACTATTGTTGTTGTTGTTGTTAGGTGCCATCGAGTCGGCACTGACCCATAGCAACCTTATGCACAGCAGAATAAAACATTGCCCGATCCTGGGCCAGTCTCACTACTGTTGCCACACTTGAGTTCATCGATGCTGCCACTTGGCCAATCCATCTCATTGGGGGTCTTCCTGTTTTCCTCTGACCCTCCACCTTACCAAACATGATATCCTTCTCCAGCGACTGGTCCCTCCTGACAATATGTCCAAAATATGAGAGACAAAGTTTGGTCATCTTGGCCTCCAAGGAGCACTCTGGCTGCACTTCTTCCAAAATGGATCTATTGGTTCTTTCAGCAGCCCATGGCACTTTCAATAATCTCCTCCAACACAATAACTCAAAAGCATCAAGTATTCTATGGTCTTCCTTATTCACTGTCCAGCTTTCACATGCATATGAGGTTATTGAAAATACCATGGCTTGGGTCAGAGGCACCTTAGTCCTCAAGCTGACATCTTTGCTCTTCAACACTTTCAAAAGGTCTTGCGCAGCAGATACTATAGGTTTGGAAAATCAGTTCAGGAATTAACATTCTCTAATTTTTCCCCCAACATAGTTTAATTGTTTAAATCTGATTGTGGATGATTTTTCAACTATCATGGCTCTATGTTTATAAATTAATATAAATACTACAATCTGGAAACAAATGAAGAAACACATCTATCAGACATCATATTAAAATTGACTATGCACAGAGTCAGAAACCAAAAAGGTAGAACATGCTCAATATTTCTCAAGCTGGGGGAACTGAAGAAAAAATTCAAGCCTCGACTTCCGTTATTAAAGGATTATCTGGGCAAATTATTGAATGATGCAAAAAACATCAAAAGAAGATGGAATGAATATAAAGAATCACTGTACCAAAAGGAAATGGTTGGTGTTCATACATTTCAAGAGGTAGCATATAATCGAGAGCCTATGATACTGAAGGAAGAAGTCCAAGGTGCATTGAAGGAATTGGTGAAGAACAAGGTACCAGGAATGGATGGAATGTAAATTGAAATCTTTCAAGAAACTGAGGCAGCACTGGTAGCACTCACTCATCTATGCCAAGAAATTTGGAAGACAAATATCTGGCTGACTGGAAGAGACCTCTATTTATGTCCATTCCAAAGAGAGATGACCCAATGGAACCCAGAAATCATCAGACAATCTCTTTGCTATCCCATGTGAGTAAAGTTTTACTAAAGGTAATACAAGAAACGGGTGCAAGCATACATTGACAGAGAACCTCCAGAGGTTCAAGCTGGATTCAGAAGAGTCCTTGGAATGAGGAATATCATTGCTGATGTCCGATGGATCTTGGCTGAAAGCAGAGTATATCAGAAGGACGTTTACCTGTGCTTTATTCACTACACAAAGGCTTTCAATTGTGTGGATCATGACAAGTTATGGACAACATTGCAAAGTATGAGTATTCCCCAACACTTAATTGTGCTCTTGAGGAATCTGTACATGAACCAAGAAGCATTGTTCAAAAAGAACATGAGAACACTGAATGGTTTAAAACTAAGAAATGTGTGTGACAGGGGTGTATTCTTTCACCATACTTATTCAACCTGTATGCTGAGCAAATAATCCAAGATGCTGGGTTATATTAAGAAAAACATGACATCAGGATTGGAGGGAGATTCATTAACAACCTGTGATATGCTAATGATATAACCTGGCTTGCTGAAAGTGAAGACATAAAATATTTACTGATGAAGATCAAAGAGCACAACCTTCAGTATGCATTGCATATCAATGTAAAGAAAACAAAAATCCTCACCACTGGACCAATAAACAACATTCTTATCAATGGAGAAAAAATTGAAGTTGTCAAAGACTTCATTCTTCTTGGATCAACTATCAACACTCATGGAAGCAGCATCCAAGAAATCAAGGACATATTGCATTAGGCAAATCTGCTGCACAAGACCTTTTTAAAGTGCTGAAGAACAAAGATGTCAGCTTGAGGACTAATGTGCAACTGACCCAAGCCATGGTATTTTCAGTAATTTCATATGCATGCGAAAGCTGGACAGTGAATAAGGAAGACCATAGAAAAATTGATGCTTTTGAGTTATGGTGCTGGAGGAGAATATTGAAAGTGCCATGGGCTGCCAAAAGAACATACAGATATATGTTGGAAGAAGTGCAGCCAGAATGTTCCTTGGAGGCTAGGATGCCCAAACTTTGTCTTTCATACTTTGGCCATATTGTCAGGAGGGACTAGTCACTGGAGAAGGATATCATGTTTGGTATAGTGGAGGGTCAGAGAAAAAGAGGAAGACCCCCAGCGAGATGAATTGGCAAAGTGGCTGCATCAATAGGCTCAAGCATGGCAACGATTGTGAGGTTGGCCCAGGATGGGGCAGTGTTTCGTTCTGTTGTACATAGGGTTTCTATGAGTCGGTTCTGACTCGATGGCACCTAACAATAACAACAACAATACACAGAAATATTGTCTTCACTAATATTTATTTAGTAGCACTATATAGAGGTGCTTTGAAGTTTGCATATGCCACATAAAGGTGATCTATAAATTCTTTGATACCAAAAGGATTTTGTAAAAAATTTGATGTTGTAACAAAGTAAAGCTAAAATGTATGAAAAATTAGCCCAGTGTAGATTGTCTATCTTTGATATGTTAAAGGATAATATGCTCTTTGAAGACAGGGGTTGATTCCTTGCTGGGTACTCCTTGATGACATTGGTTTTGCTGACAGACTCTCCTGGGTTTTAGGCCTGGGAGAAGACTTTGGTTTGCTGAAATATTCTTCGATGGGTATTTTCATCTTATGTCTTCTTATAAACAATGGAGGTTTAGACTCCGCCTCTGAAATAGAAAGACACTAAATAAGACCATACTGTGATTGAGATATACAATATAGCATTTGCTATACTTTAGTCACACATGATATATGAAATTATATAAAACGTAGGTGAATCAAATATACCCAAAATTTATAAAACTATATATGTTCTCAATTTTCCTTTCTTACCACCTTGTCATCTCCAATGAACTATTTGTTTTGTAACATGCAGGATATGTTCTTTCACTCTAAGAAACCAACATGATTTTGGTAGTAATGCTTTAGCATGATCATGGGTAAGGTTGGTAGGCAAGGATGGGGCTAGTAAGAGAAAGGAGAAATATCTGTGGTCCTGATGGACAAAATAAAAGAATAGACAAGCAGGTTAAAACAAGTCTGTTGTATTCATAAGGTCTTCCCAAGGCGTGCATGATTATAGATTTTTTGGGAGATACAGAATGTCAACAATGGAAAGAAAAGTGTATAAATATATTTTTAAAATTAAGTATCCAAATAGAGTAAAATATATTTGTAGCCTATAGGTAAGACATAAATTTGAGTAATTGAAACTATAACTGTCATGACTTTATAGTCCAACAGGGAGGAATTTGGTAGGAGAGGCAGAATGGACTAGCTTTGGAGTGTTAGGATGAGAGCCTATCTTCTAATTTCTAAACTATACTTAGTAGCAGAGACAGCCACTTTGGGGTTAGGTTAGTCCCAGAATGAGCCTACTAAACCAACTAGGGTCTAGAATGACATGAGGAACTCAGATTAACTACTATTAATTCCTGGCAAAAAGGGAATTTGTAGATACACCAAGACAGACTTTTTGTTTGAGGTTTGTAGATATAATGTATAGCTATTGCTCTATTGTCATTATTGCTATGTTTATTTTGGAGCTTTGCTTTTGTTGTTAAACACTGTGGAGTCCGTTCCGACTCATAGTGACCCTGCATAGGGTTTCCGAGGAGTGACTGATGAGTTTGAACCACCGACCTTGCTGTTCAAACCGACCTTTTGGTCCAGTGCATTATCCTATTAGATGTTGTCAAACCCACTGGGATGCTTTAATTGGGCTATTCTGAACCAAGGTAGGATTTCCCACAATTCTTGATTCTCACTGTCTGAATCGCAGGCTGAGGCAAATGTACACAGGGGATAGGCATCTAGTGGAGGTATAAAATGATTACTCTCTATTGTATTCCACATAGCATATAGACCATCTACTTATAACTGATTCCATCCCACTATTTTCTTTGGTTGTCATTGTTACTAGTGAACATCAGTTGGTTTCATGATAGGTAGTCTGTTAAGAATCAAAACTCTAAGATTATTATCATCTTATTGGCTCAATCCAGGGCTTCTCCTGTAGTTGGATTGGCGTAACAAATCTATAGTTTTATAGCTTATAGAATATTTCACTCTAATAAACAAACATGTCCTTCTGGCTTGCTTCTCAAAGACTGGTTATCCCTGATGAGGCTCTTTGCCTTTTAAATTAATGTTAAGTTTATCTCTATGAAAACTTAAGTAATGCTGTTCCTTAAGCGTATAGCTGGGAATCACTATTTTATTGTTTTTCCTTTAACACCACAGATCTTTAAAATCTGCACCTCTAAATAGTTAGATACTTACTGATTTCCTAATACCAATTTAGTAATTATCACAAACTGTACTTAACCTTTAGGTACTTCCTTATTTCCTTCAGATCCTTGGCTTGACACTCTAAACCAATTAGAGAAAGAGAAAATGAATTTCACAGATATATGCAAACATTGTCTATAGACTTCGCTGTCATTAAAAGTTATGTGTATATACACCTCTTCTCATCAACTATCTTGTTATGCAATATTTCACATTTATGACAGTAGTAAAAACAATCTCTAACTATTTTCACATTAAACAGCATGTCTGGCAGTAACCAATGTCAAGATATGAGGCACTGTTAGTTGTATATTTTGTTAACTATTCAACTGTGATGGTTAGGGTTATGAGTCAATTTGGCTGGACTGTGATTCTGAGTGGTATGGCAATTGTGTGATTCTGTAATTTAGCAGTTCTTTAAATATGTAATTTGACAATTATGTAGTGATGTAGTTGTCTTTCATTTTGGCATACATTGATTGTTGTATAATAGTCTGTCTCTGGGATCTAACCATATCGATAAATGGAAAGAGGGTGTAATCTTCTAGATGCCATCCCAAGTCTTTGTTTTTCAATGCAGACAGTTTAAATTTTACTTCCCTGTGACTGTGGGAAATATCTAAACTGTATATTCAATATGTCACTAAGGTAGAGAGACTGACCCTTTCCATTTCTTCTATTACGGAAACATTAGAGATAAATTACAATTCACAATTGTCTTCTGCTTTTTAAAGTGACACGTTATGTTTTTTGAATGTTTATTTTCTTTGATGTTTAAGCTTTACCCAAATTTTAATTTTAAAGCAATTAGATTTCCTCTCCTAGTTTAAAATAACATCTTACATTATATTTTTTCACCATGATATTTTACATAAAAGGTTTAAGAACTAGTTCTACTGAAATAATTTCCATCCCTCTTAACTCTTTTTCCTTATGACAGCAGCCAGGAGTATGTTAAAAGAAAATTAACTGAAGCATTTAATTTTATTCTTGAATGATTCTATGCAATCAAGTGGTATTATTGTGATATAAATTTTAAAAAAATATACAACTAACAACACAATTTGGTATCTTTTCCTGCTTCTATTTTTAGTTGAACTAAAAGAAAAATATAATAATGTTTTTACGTTTCTGCATGGCTACTCTTGCTTTGTCCTCATAGATAGGGAATTTTTCTCAAGAAGACAGGTTGTTAGGTAAGGAAGACATACCAGCACAAGTTGTCATTAAGTAGATTCTGACTCATGGTAATCTCATGTGAGGCAGAGTAAAACTAACTGTGACCCACCGAGTTTTTCAATGGTTGATTTTTCAGAACTACATCACCAAGCCTTTCTTCTGAGGCACCACTGGGTAGATTTGAACCTCTAACCTTTTAGTTAGCAACCTAATACATTAACCTTTTGTACTGCCTAAGGACTCCAAGGAAGGTATGTTGTTGTTAAGTGTTGTTGAGTCAGCTCCGACCCATAGCGACCCTGTATAGGATTTCCGTGGAGTGACTGGTGAACTTGAACTGCTGACCTTGCAGTTCAAACCGACTTTACAGTCCAGCACAACACCACACCAGGATATAGCCCCTGCCCAAATGCTATGAACAGCAGAAATATAAGCAATTCTCATATTGTATTTTATAACAATGAAAGAAAACAAATATACCCTGTAGTCATTTCCTGAATAAAAGGAAGATTAAAAAATCTCAGTATGTTTAGTGCTTTGAAAGACAGTGACAAGAGAATTCAAAGTCTTTATATACCATATGCCCTCTAAGCAGTCATGCTTAATCAGTCTAATTACCTGATTGGTCCATGCCCTTCCCTAGATCTGGTCAGCATTTTTGATTTTGCAGGAGAATGTGGAGGCGATTTAACTATAGGTGGCCTCCCGGTCTCTGCTGCTGGTTCTGTTGAAATGTTTCTTTGGCGGTGAGTCAACAAGTTTATCTCAGCCAGCTCGGCATGAACCAAAGCCGAGACCCACTCTTTTTCTGATTAAAAAGAGAACAAGAGGCTTTGTAATGTTCATGTTGGCTACAAACAGGATTAGTTTTTTTTACCCAGTACCTCAATGTGAAGAGCTGGTAATCTAAATTCTAAGTTGTTGTTAAGTGCCGTTGAGTCAGTTCCGACCCATAGTAGGTAGACACATGTAATTGTTAATTTGATATATCAATTTGGCTAGGCTATGGTGCCCAGTTGTTTGGTCAGACACTAGCCTAGAGACTGTTAAAAGTGGTTTGTTTTTGTTGCTGTTAAGTACCATGGAGTCGGTTCTGACTCATAATGAACCTGTACCAGGGTTTCTGAGGCTGCAAATCTTTATGGGTGCAGAAAGCCTCATCTTTTTCCCACAGAACAGCTGGTAGTATTGAACTGCCGACCTTGATGTTAGCAGCGCGATTCATAACCACTACGGCTACCAGACTAAAGCAGTTGGTCATAATGTAGGTGAGCCTTATTTAATCAGGTAAAGATTTTAAAAGCAAAAGGGGAATTTTCCTAAGTTGTGTTCTGCCTCCAGACTATAAATCGGCATGTATCTCCTGAAAAGTTGTGAGAAATGCAGAAAAATGCAAATTATCAGGCCTCACCCCAGAATTGTTACCTTAGTCAGTCTGATGACCAGCTAGGTTTGAAGACAGCTGCCCTATACCACTTATGGTTTTCCCATTTAAAACTCACATGTGCTTTCACGGAATAAGCCAGAACTGGATATTGACTGAGTTGATGGGGTTTGGGTGGGAAACTTGGGATTTGGAATTCTAACAGCTTGTGCTACTGCCATCCATATCTAATTAAGGAAAGAGATAAGCTCTTACCTAAGGGTTCACAGAAGACCGGAGAATGTGCTGGGGTTAGGATGGGGAAAATTGAGTGGATGGGCTTTGTAGGAGAAGCACAGATCAACTTGATCTCAGAATAAAGCCCTCCCAGAACACAAGTGTTTCACATCACCCAAGTGAGTTCAATTTGGGGCATATTATTTTGGGTTCATTGAGTTACTTGTATGCATGTGACTGCGTATGCAAGACTGCAATGTCTTGTTGCAATATAATAATAGTGCAACATTATCTTTGCACATCTAAAGTGGAAGATTTCAGTTATTGCTAGTTTCCCAGTTTCTGACAATAAATTCAGCTCAGTGTTTGTAAATGCTTATCCGAATCTCACCTTCTGAACTTGCGTGAAGCAGCCACTGAAGAACCTCTGCCAGTGAATCAGTATGCAAAATCTCACAGAGCTTTGCTAGGATCTGACAGAGAACATTAGAGTTATATCATGAGCAAATAAACAGTGCAAGGTTTCCTTTACATTCTCCAGAATCTGATCCTCCCAAAATGTCACACTGTATATGAGGCTCGAATAAGTCAGTTGGAATTTCAGCTGGAGAGCCAGATTCCAAAGAGTACACAGTAGAATCTTAGCACAAACAATATTTCCTACACAAGTTTAGGTTAGGCAATGCAGTATGTTTCTACTGTTCTGTCTGTTCAGTTACAACATCTTCTGGCAGGAGGAATTTACTTTCCTTGTTTTGAAAAACTGATCCTTTTCAAGTGAAACATGAGCTGCTAGTCATACAACTGTACACATCTATACTACTCCACTCTATATTTAGGGCTAGGCGTGAGACGTGTTTCAGCACTGCATCAGTTTGTTGAAACATTTCAATTTGTACTCTGTCAATTCCTGGAGTCTTGTTTTTCACCAATGCCTTCCATACAACCTGGAGTTCTTCCTTCAATACCATTGGTTTTGATAACATGCTACCATTTGAAATGGTTGAGCATTGACCAGCTCTTTTTGTACAATGACTTTGTGTATTCATTCCATCTTCCTTTGATGCTTTCTTTATCATTCAATATTTTGCCCATTATTGTTCTTGTTAAGTGCTATTCAGTTGATTCCAACTCATAGTGACCCTGTACAGTGTTTTGGAGCTTAAATTCTATATATCCATCTGCCTACCAATGTCACTTTGTCATATTGTGGTGGCTTGTGAGTTGCTGTGATTCTGAAAGCTATGCCATCAGTATGTTAAATAACAGCAGAGTCACGCATGGTGGATAGGTTTCAGATGAGCTTCCAGATGAAGACAGACTAGAAAGAAGGAGTGATGAACTACTTCCGAATATTTAGTCACTGAAAACCTTATGATTAGCAGAGAAACATTGTCACATATAGCGCTGGAAAATGAGCCCCTCAGGTCGGAAGGCACTCAAAATGTGGCTGGGGAAGAGCTGCCTCCTCAAAGTAGAGTTGACCATGATGACATGAATGGAATAAAGCCCATAGGAAAAAAGCCTGCGGGACCTACATTGCTGATGGGGCACAACTCAAAATGAACAGAAACAGCTGTAAACATCCATTAAAAATCAGAGCATGGAATGTGCAAAGTATGAATCTGGGAAGATTGGAAATTGTCAAAAATGAAATGGAATGCATAAACATTGATATCTTAGGCATTAGTGAGTGAAAATGGACTGGTATTGGCCATTTTGAATCTGATGACCACACATGGTTTAATATGCCGGAAATGACAAATTGAAGAGGAATGGTATTGCATTCATTGTCAAAAAGAATATATTCAGATCAGTCATGAGGTACAACGCTGTCTGTGATTAGATAATATCCATGCACCTACAGGGAAGCCCAGTTAATACCACAATTATTCAAATTTATTCACCAACCACTAACTAAAGCCAGTGAGGATGAAATAGAATTCTACCAACTTCTTCAATCTGAAATTGATCAAACATGAAATCAAGATGTATTGATCATTAGTGGTGACTGGAATGCAAAGGTTGGGAGCAAAGAAGAATCACTAGTTGGAAAATATGGCATTGGTGATAGAAATGATGCTGGAGAATGCATGACAGAATTCTGTAAAATCAATGATTTGTTCATATCAAATAGTTTATTTAGACAGCATAAGAGACCAGCTATACATATGGACCTCACCTGATGGACTACATAGAAATCAAATTGACTTCATCTGTGGAAAGAGACAATGGAAAAGCTCATATCATCAGTGAAAACAAGGCCAGGGGCAGACTGTTGAACAGACCATCAATTACTGATATGCAAATTCTAACTGAAGCTGAAGAAAATGAAAACAAGTTCACGAGAGCCAAAATATGACCTTGAATATATACCACCTGCATTTAGAGATCATCTGAAGAACAGATTTCATACATTAAACACTAAAGAGAAGACCAGAAGAGTTGTGGGATGACATAAACAGCATAATACATGAAGAGAGCAAAAAGTCATTGAGAAGACAAGAAAGAAGGAAAATGTCAAAATAAATGTCAAAAGAGACGCTAAAACTTGCTATCCAGCATAGAGATGCTAAAGCAAATGGAAGAAATGAGGAGGTCCAAGAGCTGAACAGAAAATTTCAAAGATCAGCTTAAGAAGATAAAGCCAAATATTACAACAAAATGTGCAAAGATCTGGAATCAGAAAACCAAAAAGGAAGAACATGTTCAGCATTTCTCAAGCTGGGGGAACTGAAGAAAAAATTCAAGCCATGACTTTCATTATTGAAAGATTCTCTAGACAAATTATTGAAGATGGAAGGAATACACAAGAGTCACTATATCAAAAGGAAATGGTTAGTTTTCAACCATTTCAAGAGGTAACTTATGATCAAGTGTGAATACTACTGAAGGAGAAAGTCCAAGGTGCATTGAAGGAATTGGCAAAGAGCAAGGCACCTGGAATTGATGGAATAAAAATTTAAATCTTTCAAGAAAGTAAGGCGACACAGGAGGCACTCACTCATCTTTGCTAAGAAATTTGAAAGACAACTATCTGGCTAACTGATTTGAAGAGATCCATATTTGTGCCCATTCCAAAGAGAGGTGACCCAATGGAATGCAGAAATCATCGGAAAATATCTTTGATATCCCAAGCGAGTAAAGTTTTACTAAAGGTAATACAGAAACAGCTACAATCATACATTGACAGAGAACTTCCAGAGGTTCAAGCCAGATTCAGAAGAGGCCATGGAACGAGAGATATCATTGCTGATGTCTGATGGATCTTGGCTGAAAGCAGAGAATATGAGAAAGATGTTTACCTGTGCTTTATTGACTATGCAAAGGCTTTTGACTGTGTGAACATGACAAGCTATGGACAACAGTACAAAGTATGAGTAATTGTACTCATGAGGAATCTGTACCTG